TTAAGTTGTGATTCTAACTTTTTCTGAGCTACAGGTGAAAACTCATCCCGCTCAAAGTGCTTTTGATTCATGGTGATGCATAAAGTGAATTACGGTAACATTTTTATAAAGGCATTTTTACCAAGGACATAGACTAAGCTATCCTCACACACACACAGAGCATCTGCCTGTGTTTCCATATGTGTGCCTGCATGTGTGTGATCGTTACGTATTTCAGCCATGCAGGCTCGGTGTTCCTTACCTGTCAGAAAAAGTACTGTGTGAAACATTATTTTCATAGTGATGGCTGGAACTTTACATTTACATGTGTTTGGTAAAGAGCTGCAATCAGCTGCCTTTTAAATAGACATGTCCATTTTGGAGAGTTTATATAAAGTTTATGGATTTATGATTTTCAAAGATGATATGAGACTCCTTGTTGCTTCCATTTTTGGATATGAATTAGAGATCCCATTAAATTTTAGTATACAATCATCAGCCTTATTCAGGCATTACAGAATACAATCATATGTAGACTCCTTTGAAACAAAATTTACTTTTAAAACCACATAGTGATTGCAGATCGCTGGGTGGTTTTTTTTTTCACATGCTCTTTAATTGAAAGCATTTACACCCCTTTCTTGGTGCATACTGCCATGCATATATGTCTGTTTGGTGCTTTCCTTATTCGTGCTCCATAAAGACACAATGGACCTGCCAGGAGAAATCAGGTTTTTTGAACAGTGCTATGACAAGAACATTGTCCCCAACTGGAGGCACTGCCAATGAGGGTTTCAGATTGGACATAAACCAACAACACATGGTATGAAGTGTAAAAGCATTACTCTATTTTTATCTAGTACATGAAAAATAGGCATGTGTGAAAACTGTAAATCCAAGATGGAATGAGCAATTTACAGTGACATCCATAAAAGTCTCACCTGTATAATACACAGGCCTCTATACCAGTCTGCCCAGTTTTTTCTGACTTGATGGCAAAGATATTTATTGTGCCCACTGGATGCTTTCCATCCCATCTAGCCCCTTGTCTGAAAGTATGCGGTTGTGGAGTTCACTGATGCAGAGCTCTGGATTCCTGTAAATGATATATTTCTATTTCCTCAACATAGCAAAAGGAAATTTTAATACTAAACTGGCTGGGTGAATATTTAAATTGATCTGTGGGAAAATGCAACAGAATGAGACTATTCAAATGACACTGTGAGAACTTCCTCACTGATATGCCTGAATGCCAAATTGGTGGAACTATTGTACCTGTAGAGGTGAAAGGGTAATTTAGTTTTCATGGTCAGAAAATCATGATCTATGACTTGTGATGGTATTTTTACAATAAGCACACCTCACACTGGCAAGGAACTGAAATGTTGCCAGTTTGAAATGATAAACTAGAACTAAATGAAAGCTCACCACTCCTTGATATCTTTTTTGTTCTGTAAATACCTTGTACAGACCACTCTGGGCCCAACCCAGGGAAAAAATACCTAAATTTGAGAAAAAAAATACATGAAGGGAGTAGCACTGCCCATGTATTTGAAGTTATGCAACTGCTGCAGTAGTTTCAACAGCAATGAATGATTATTTTCTGAGGATTATTTTCTCCTTCAGGTAAACAGCCAGCTAAATTTTAACTTTGCTATTATTATCCAGGCAGTCACCTTTTACTGCACGTTTCTGTCCAAGCATCTGAAGAGCTACAGTACCCTTCTGCATGCAAATAATGTCAATCTAATAAATTAATAGCATTCACTGAAAAAAACCCCTCATAAATTTTAAGATAAAAACCACCTAAAATATGACTCTTTTTTTTTCCCTTTTCATCTTCCAAGGGGGAAAAGAGAACTGAATTAAAAACAAACCCTCTGTTCAAGTCAGGTCATCATGACACAAAGCAGTACAAACCAATAAATCCAGCAAGGCTGACAGTCTAGCCTGGCAGTATGCACACAGGCTTTTGAGCCGTGGAAAGCTGGGAGGGCTTTGGATACTGGCTCTGTGGCTGCAAGCTGACTTATCGGAAGGAAAGAAAGGTCAGCGTGCCACAAATGGCATGTCAGGCAAGAAATGTGGGCTTGGAGTTGCACTGCTGCATGGCTGGAGTGCAGCCCCATCCTCTCCTGCTCCGGGGACAAACTAACTTGAGGTTTGTGCAGGTAGGAGAGCAGGGGAAGGAAGGATCCCTACAGATATTACTGTTCATGCTACCGGTATGTCACTGGTAGCTGAGATAAATATTTGGTTTTAGATAAGACCCCAGGAAAGCAGCTGACCTTCCCAATAAAGATAATTGAGAGAGAGACATACTGCTGTACTTTAAAAGAAAGAAAAAAAAAAAGAACGAAGGTGCTAATGAAGCACTGACTGGTCAGAAAACACGTACTGAACACTCAGCTTCTCTACTGTGTATGTAACACAAGAAAACATAACTGCAGTGCAGCTGAAGGAACAGCTGGAGCTCAAAAACACCTAAGCCTCAGTTTATTATGCACACATACAACCAGACCATTCCAAAGTGCCATGAAATCAATTGGAAGTTTCTCAGACTGCACTTCCCTCCGTCACGGACTAGGTGTTAACAGACCCACATTCCCCTTTCTCTGAAGGCTGATCAAAACTGTTGATCAAGCCAAGATCTTTGAAAACATGAGCCAAGTGTTTGACCTTCTGTATTTCTTTGAGCACAACAGGTACAACTGTGAAGCAACATGGTTGTGAAAGAGCAGGACAGCTTGCTGGGGCTGGAGGTCTCCTCTTCTCTCCACTGCATTGTCACAGCTCTCCAAACACAGCTGGGCTGCCACAGCCAGGAGATTTGACCTTCAAAACAGTCTTTAAAAACTATAAATGTGATGCCTCTACAAAGCTGAGTAACAGCAGCAGAGCTCAAAGGAAGCAGCTGACTTCATGGTTTTGTTTGTTTGCTTCACTGAAAGACCAGCTGAGGGCAATGCTAAAGGCCTTGGGTCAAAAATACCTCAACTACAGAATAGGAGAGGCTGAGCTTCAAAATACCTCAACTACAGAATAGGAGAGGCTGAGCTTCAGGCATAACATGCATTATTTAGTGTAAAATGAAGAACTTCTAGTGATAGCTCAGACAAAAAGTTATGTCTAATCTACAGAAGATGACAAGTACAACAGGTCTCATACCTTTCAAATGTAATCAGGCACATTGCAAATGTCAGGAAAAAAAGGCCACCTGCTGAAACCTCTCATTTCTAGAATGAAAAATGCAACGTAAGAAGATGCAGCATTGTTATGCCTTGTTCAGCATACCGAGAAGCATTACAAGGTATTTTATTTAGTCCTATTTGTAAAGCTCAGATCAAAAAAACCCCTTAATCTTTAAACAAATATTAATGCAGAGAAATACACACAACTAAAAAGCCTCATACTCTCTGAAACACTCAAAGAAAAAAATAGTTTGCTGATGGCCCTCTGGACAGTGCCAGAGTGTTGAAAAGTCACAGTGTATGAGATTTCTATAGGGAAGGAAGCAATCTTGTGTTTTGATCATCTTCATGGTGTCTGTGTAATCTGGAGCAAATTATGATATCAAAATGGAGACTAAAGGCAATTTTATAAACTGGGCTCAAAGATGGAAGCTCTTAAACTAAAACAGCCTTTTCCAACTTCAGTCAATCAAGTAATGAACACAGGTTCATAGAGCAGTCACATTTAGCCAAACTTGTTCTGTCTTCTGTAGTGCATTTATCATGACCTTGAAGTTCTGGGAAGTTCTTCTGTGAGTTAGAGAACTTTAAGCAATACAATTTTAAAATGTTTTTAGCTTTTGTCATCTATTCCCAAAAGACATCCGTTCTTCATTTTGATTCTACCTTTGAGACAAATGTAGAGCATTTCAGACTAATCTGCCGTGTTTATGGGACATGGTGACACGGCAGCCACATGGAACAAATTTTAGGGACTGAGTAAAAGGAAGATGTAGGCTCATCTGGGGCATTCCTAAGGCAACCGTACTGCCTGCTTCATTTTCCAATTTCAGAATCAGGGTGTTAAGGAATAGTTTTATTGTGGGAAGTTTCTGTTAACAGTTTAATCTAAACAGTAACATAGACAGTCTGTTTACTCTATGATAAATCATGTGGCAATGCTTAAATTCCCAAAGAATGCATAAAAAAGTTGTTCTTACACAAAAGTGGAATGGTTGAAATGGACTTTTTTACTAAACTCCACAATTACTGAATGCAAATATGAAGAAAAATAAAGAAAACAAAAATTCATTATGTAGAAATAAAGAATTCTGTTATTTATTAAAACATGATTGCTTTAAGGATCACAGTTAAAAGTCAGACTGTATTGAATATGAAAGAAATTGCTTGTTTCTGGGCAGTTAGAAATGATGAACCTGCTCAACTAACACAAAAGTCTGCTTATACCATTTTATCCAGGGCTGCATCTTTGCACCAACACTAGCAGGTTTTGTACTACTATGTGGGAATATCAAAACCATTTTTATCCGCAGTCGTAATGTAGCTTCTGCTTGATTGGCCTTAGGAAATTACAAATAATAACGATAGCTTTAGATTTATGTTTAGTTGTTAGTCGTCCACATTTTTTTCAAGAATAAGGACATAATTTTTCTGAACAAGTAACATCATTTATACTTCTCATGAGGGGCACTCTGATTTAATCAGGGATAGTGAACATGTCCAGTGAGCCTTTGTTTATGTGACAAGGATACAGACCCAGGTACACACTCTCAGCAGTGCGCTGTCACAGGACGGATGAATCCAACACGTAATGGAAACGAGCAAAAGTGTATGGCCAGCAAGTACCCAAGTAAGACTCCCCATCTTCTACATTGTTAGAGAATTTGAGTATCATTTTTAGTGAAGGGCAAAACTCATTATATTTTAATACATTTTCTTGGGCTTTATCCATTTCTCTATTGCTTGAATATATCAACAATTTACTGCCTTAAATGCATGAGTTGCTTCACATCCATATCAAAGAAAGAAACACCACCACATTAAATTTTTCAGTCTTCTTGAATGTATAAAGCTAATTTAGTCCAATTCCTCTTTTACAGTTACCCCCGTTTTAATGGCATGCCTTTAAAATATAAAATATGTAGCTCCACTAAATAGTAGTGAAATGAGCCTGATGTGTACCAAAATGTTTTAGTCATATTTTCCATTTCTTTTTGCATTTAATCTTCCTAGAATTTTATGTTAATGGCTGTTTATGAATTCAGCATTGGAATTCAAAACATTAAGATTATTGAGAGTTGTAGTCAGTGAAAACATTTCTATTTAAAGCTTCTGAAATACAGAATTTTAAAGTTGATGAATTTAAGATAAGTGATTTAGCTTTAATAAGTGCCGAACTTTTAAGGAAAATAACACAAACCAAAGCTGAGTGGGTCTGCATACATATTATTTCTGGTATAATACACTGAATTTTCCTAAGCTTCCCCATTTTTGAAGGAGAGCTGCACTGAATGGTGCAGAAAACAGTACGCTGAACTCAAGAGTTTCAATGCAGAATGAGCACAGACAAGAATATGATGTATATTTTGTGGCTAGCACTTTGGTTACTCATGAAGGTGTTGCAGTGGCATCTACTTAATTCTGGACAGCTGACTTTGAAAGGGTATTTCTGTGCAGCAGATCAGTTAATAAAAAGTGAAATATCCATGAAAAAATGTGGGCAATATTTATTTTAATCCCTCCAGAATCTTGTGTTACACGTAGGCCCACATGTACCCATGCGCACAATGTAATAAAGTAAAAAGTTTACACCATGTCATATCAGAAATTTAAAAGCATGTAATATGTAAGAAAAATGTATAAGATAACTGTTCTTAGAAATATGAAAACTCTACTCATTGTCATTCTTATGCATATCGAAAAAGCAACCTATCTGAGTTTACAAAACATCTCTTAGGACTGTTGTGATTTTTGCAGTTAAGGAATCAGGAACTCACAATATGTACATCAAGCTTAAACGGCTTGTGTATGTTACAAATATAAAGCAGTAGGCAGGGTATGACAAATGTACTGAAGTCCTGACATTGCAAAATCTTCACCAGAATAAACAAACGAAAAATGACCCAGAAATCATCTCTATGATAAGAGAAAAGACATTTCACTTTTTGTGAAAGAGAAGAGGTTTCACCATCCCTGCCAGAATCTTGGGTAGCTGGGCAGCAATCACCTCTGACATCATCTCGGGGAATTCAACACTCAGAGCACGGGACTGGAGAAATGTGTTCAGACAGAAGAGATGGAGCTGTTTCACTAGCTGGATTTAATAAAATACAAACATGATAAATCAGGATAATAGTAATGCAGCCAGATAAACATGCTGTCAATCACCTCATACATCGATCAGCTGACATCATTATATACCTTTCTCTGTCATTCTTTGAATCAATAATGTAGGTACTTGTCATTCCCTATTAAAATATCCTCCCATGCCAAGAAGTCACAAATATAGCTAAATGGTACGTCACATAAAAACAGTACCTCAGTAATAAGTGTTATCATCCTCACTCAGGACATGCACCACGAACAATGGCAATTACTAAACAACTATTCAAGCTTTCATTTTATCCTCACGTTCAACACGTCTCCATGCCTTGTTCCCTATACGCTGTTCAAACACTGCTCTGAGGGACAGCAGTCACCATTTCCTTGTCAGCTTTTCTGTGGTTCTGACGATGATCATGTCTGGATATGCTGCAAACATTAAAATTCAGAGGCCCTTGTCTCTTAAAAGCAGTTGCTCAATATGTGTGACTATTTAACCTCTTCTGTCTTCTCTGAGAAGTTCAAATTTTATAGAAATTTTCCTTTAAGATCTGGGACCTTTATGTTGTCAAATATATTGTCATATTGTTGTCATACTATTTCTGCAACCCTGGGCTTTGACAACACACAGTCTCTCCAGTGTGATTAGCTTTTCCCTGTATCTCCCATCACTTTATCAGCCTGAGATAAAGTAGGGACCTGACCTAAGATACTCCACAGACCAAACACTGCCCTAACCATCATTTTGCTGGGTATTCTGCAGCAAGCCTCACTCACCCGCTTCCACTGAGCCTATTTTACTTTGTTTAAGTATTTGAAATGATGAGATTGACTGTACAGCCCAGTACTCAAAGAGTTTTCCTCTGGATACTGTGACTCTCAGATTGCGAATTGTTACTACAGGTAAGGCAGGAAGACCTTTTATCCCAAGCAAGACAGATTCAAACAGATTCCTTGAGCACAGGGATATCGTGAGCAGTATACTGCCCAGGACTTGTTTCTGCAAGTAAAAGGTGACTGACTGATCTCCAGGGAAGGGTTTAGCACTGACAATCTGCAGTCTGACTACCGAAGTTATGCTCCATATCCTGCCTTCAGAATTTTCTGTTTTCTGCCTTCACCTGTAAGGATGCTTTTTGTACTTGTCTCACTGTCTTTTTGCTGGTATCTGAGACAAGGTAATTGCTAAATGGTGAGTGTGATTTCTGTGGATAAGCTGATGGAGAGGTTTGTGCACTGGATCAAAAGATTCCAGACCACTTGGTGAACGTCATAATTAGCAATATTGCTACCTCTCTTAACTCCCATAAATGTGTTCTTCAAAGGTTTTTTTTTTCCTCCCATCAGGAGAAATTAGTGACAATGCATTTTTTTAATTAATTTATTCCCAAACAATTAAAATAAAATGCAGATTTGCCAAGTGCCAAATACAAACATGCAAAGACCTCATCTTTTCCTGAAGTCCCTGCAAGCTCCTCACAACCAGCACTGAACATAAAAACGTCCTTCCTCAGCTACCTCAGTGCCCCTTCCTAAACCCATCAGGTATGGCCCTGTACCTCTGCTTTTTGCCTCTCTTGCAAAGAGACAAAAGCCATCACAAAACAATATTCACATGGGCAAAGTTTTACACAAAATGTCATTCCTCAGTTTTAATGGATGTTAAGCCAATAGGATACATGCTGGATTCTCAGAGATGTGCAAAGAATTCAGCTGCATCTTGTAAGACACTTATGAATCTCTATATATCACCACTAGAGTTCTCAAAGATTACTCAGTTCCCAAATACAGTCAGATACTGAAAAAACGGCATAGAATATACACTTAAAAGTAGTTGAATTAAGGTTGCAAAACCCATCTTGGTTGTCTTTCTCTAATTCTTAGTAGCTTGACTATGCAACTTGAATTGCCTGGTTTTTACTTCATTTACATATTTTCATGAACAAGCATACAAATGCACATACACACACCACCCCCTTCCAAAAACCCTAACTCTAGTAGTTACATTACAGATGAAATGAAATGAAATGAAATGAAATGAAATGAAATGAAATGAAATGAAATGAAATGAAATGAAATGAAATGAAATGAAATGAAATGAAATGAAATGAAATGAAATGGCAGCATTCCAATGCATGTTTCTCAAATACTTAAATCTTGTGTACCATGTACCATATATACAGTATATATTGATGCTGAATATATAGCTACCTATGCACACAAATATACACACTAAAGGGAAAATGTTGGGGTTTTTCTTTTTATTGTTTAGAAATGTTGACTAGCTACTTTCCATAAAATTACTTTTAAGAAATAAAAGTTCCTTCTTCCATAAAAAGCAAAATACATTAACAAATAAACTTACATCATGCATGGAATCCATCAGCTTTGTAAGTTGATAGAAACGTTGTGAATTGGCCACAACACCTTTCTGGCGCAAACCAATCGCCTTCACCAGTTCTCTGATGTAACTCGTTCTCATCTCATCAAATTGGCTTTGACTTCTTAGACCTTCCAAAGGAACTAAAAAGAAAGTAACATTTGTGTTACAATTTATTCTGAAGGCAATGAGAGAAATTTAAAGTACAGAAACAATTTATAGTATTTGACACTGTGCAGCAGAATTCATTACTATACACCAGGTGCTTCTTCCAGTTTGTTACTTCAGAAACACGGATACAATTAGTAACAGCAACAATCAGCCCATTCTGCTAATTGTAGAAGTCTAGAAATAGCCTTAAGCTTCAGCTACACCTGTCTACTGAAAAGAAGACGGCCAAAAGAGCCACTCGTATCCTTGAGGAAAGATGTTATGGACTGGCTCATATTTACACTGCTGAGTGTCAGCCATCTTCATGGCACATTTACCTTAGAGAGATCTAGCTGGACTGCTTCCAAATCGAGTCATGGAATGAACTAACAACTCTTACGTAGCATAGACAGTAAAGCATCCAGGGCTCAGGCTTCGTATTTGGACCTCTTCCACTTAACAGAATAGATGCACTATCAGAGCCTTAAATGTGAACAGCTTTTTAGAGAAATTAGCAAGGAGGAGCAAATGATTGAACTCACTCTTCACATAATGGTCAGCCTCGAGGACCAAAATGAGGACATGGAGAGAACACTGAGAAATGGAACCTGTTAGCGACTATTAGTGACAAGACCCTATTTGATCACTGATGGTAAGTGTTGGTAGAATTGTAAGGCAACAGGCATCAGCTCTGGACTCTACTGTCCTTGCTGTGGCAGAGTGTAACGCACAAGTCTTACAATTTATGTTGTCAAAGGCAAGTAAGAAATTAAAAACTTGGAAAAAATGAAACTTTGAAAAAAAACTTCCCAACTGGCAATCAAATCTAAATCCTTGTGCCACTATAAGAAACACACATTAAAACATGGTCTTGTTTCAAAGATAATGTTTTTCAAAAAGCTGTTAAATTTTCCCCTTTTCCTTTCTCCCTTGCCAATGACATGGCACACTGCAATGTCACATCTAACATGTTGAATTCTGGCAGCAAGCATGAGGGCAAGGATTCACCTCAACAAACTTTAGACATTTTACAGTACAGGCATCTCAACCTGGGCTAGTTACCACAGCTTGCAGTAGTTTTAGTGGGAAAAATCAGGCAAGTCTTGGGCACAAGGCACGTTCACTGTTTTAGAAGCAGCTTTATAAACAGATGAATTATGCTGTAGAGATGCTTATTCTTCTCCAGAGATTCTAAAAGAATTTAATGGGGACTAGCTCACATAGTTAAATAAACTGCATGCTAGCTATCCAAGTATGTAGTGTATCTTCAATCTGCTATCAGATCAGGACTAGTATCAGGCAACAGATTCCCGTTGCATCTCAAAAAAAATAAAGATGAAGTTTGGTTCATAATGATATTGACTTGTTCAACACTGTAACTGCCTAACTTCCAGGAGATTTGTCACCTTCTAGAATTAAAACATAAATATATGTGCATGCTGACTGTCTACAATGCACTGTATTGTTAGCAACCTAAGAATGGAATTCTTAAAACCAAAGCCACCTAAAAAGCAGATACCTAAAAAGCTGCACAGGGGTCTGAAAGAGAATGAGGTTGCAAACCCTGCACTGAGAGAAGCACTGCCCTCCATTTAGAAATCACAAACCCCATTCTAAAGTAGGTTGCCTAAGTCTGGTTCCTCAGAAGAAGGTTAAGGGGAACACTTCAGGCGAAGAGATTAACATTAGTGTCCCTCACCTGCAGCCCAGAGAGAGATAACAAAGAAAGTTGAAATCTCTACTCTACTTGAGTTAAGCAGAAGTCTCTTATTTCATAGGAGACTACAGAAGAGAGGAAATGATCAAGGACATCTCTTGCTCTGTGTCTCCTCAGACAAGTGAATGTCTGGGGGAAGGAGGGAGACACACATACTGAAAATGGCAATGACAAGTGTCTAAGCACTGAGATGGCTATGGAAGTCAGGGGCTGACTCCTAACTAAAACAGAATTAAAACAAAAATAAAAATAGACAATAGAAATTGTGACTGCTTCCACAGAAATTACATCTACAACACCATCTCTAATAACAGCCCAGCTTTTAGGGATGCCATCTTAGATTTCTTTTGGGAGCTGATGGAGATGAAATGCTGCACGAGGTAACTCAGTATGGCCTCTCAAGTCCAGACAGACAAAGGAGGTATCTGAAAGTGTGCCTGTCACATCTGAGTCAAGGGCCTGACTGGAAGAGTTCTGTTTTGTGGAGAATGCAATGTGCTTAGGAGTAATACTCACAGTGGGGAAAAGTTATGTCCTGGAAAAAGAATAATATTCAAAGTCTGGATGGTTCTGGGTATGTCTGACAGCAGAATTAGTGACACCTATGAAATATTTTCCACATAAAGTGGCATTCTGATGGAATTTAGGGTTAGGTGGATGCTTTCATTGACTTATGTCTCTAAACCAGCAGTTCAGTCCTTGTGTTTCCCTTGTGAATCAAGTTAAAAAGATCTCTTTCAGCAATGCATGGCCTGCTTCCAAGAATTCTGCAAAAGCACAGTCACATTCCTGGCTAATCACAAAAAGTTCCACTAAGCTATTTATTTGAGTGAAGAATTACAATGTATTACAAGCACAAATGCAATTTAAACACAGGTAGCTCAAATGCTCCTTCCCCTTGAACATACGTAAAGAACGCGGATGCTTTTATTCAGTGGGAAGAATCCAGCCAAAATGTTATGCAACAAGATTTAGCAATTACTCTACATCAAAAGGCTGGAAAGTGTTAGAGCTAGAACTGAACTTGCTATATGCATATTTCTCTCTTTTTTGGCATAGTTCTACTAAATCATAGTCTTTCTCAACGATTCAAAGTATTAGTTCCTAGATGTACGTGGCCTCTACAAGATGGAGCCCTGTTTAGAACTTTTGGGGGACTACTACAACATGGCATATTGCATATAGTAAATAAGGACCTGTTAAATGGAAACAATTGCAGAAAATAAAAATGTTAGTCTACTTTTTGCAAAGACCAATCCAGCTTTCAAGACAGCTTTAGAACTGTCACAAGTATAATATAAAGAAAATGTCTAAGCCACAGCAAACTCAATGGAAAAACTGTAAAAATTAGGCTAAGGTTTCCATTCAGAATTAGAAATGTATTCAGACTGACATTTAGTTATGTTGAATACAAATTACTGTTTCTTTGAAATTATATAAGAAGTAAAAAGCAGTTAATCTAAATAATAAATCAAACACAAGACAGAATGAGAGACTAAAAGTTCAGACTTGATTTACTGTTAGTATATGAAAGCTTGAAATGGCCATACTTTCACATTTTAAGAGGCTTAAGATGAAAATAATGACTAAAATAAAAGTAGTCTTAAAAAACACTTCATAGCAACAACAAGGTTATATGGTTTTTTGAAAACAGTTTTGTGGAATTATATTTATACAGTACCAAACGTCTACTAAATGTCTCAGCAACAACGGCTAGGTGTGTTCCTTTTCCCAAAGATCTGACAAATTGTTTTTTCCTATAAGACAATAAGTGCAGGAGAAAACAAAAAGCAAAACTTATCAGCACAGGTAGAAATACTTTTCTTTTTTTAACTAACTTCTTGCATATATACCAACATATAATCTTAAAAATGAGTTTCAGAGGGCAGGTAAAAAATGGTAGCTTGATGAATGCTGTTGAACTGATGTACTTGGGAGGGATTGGACTATTGCAATGTTTTTTTGAATTTGATTTGAACTTTATGGGACAGAAATGGGAAGCTGGAATATCACAAATGTATCTAAATTTCACTGAAATTTAAAACTTCCCTCTAAGGTTCAGGCAGACAAGGGAGTTCATTTTGTGATTAAAACAAGGTGGAAAACATTTAAAATAGGAATACATTCAAATTCCAACAAAGCAACTGGAGTTATATCAGAGAGGGTTTTCTGTGCACGTTATTTTTATTGCTTTAGCAGAGTGTATGGTATTTTGCTATTATTTAAGTAATTTTTGCGTTCATATGAGCTAAATTTAATCTTTATTGCTTATGCTCTGCTGAGACCAAGGTTTTTTTAAGCATGAGTTTATGTAAATACCAGCCAAGTACAGCTTAAGAAGGAATAGATTGTAGTTCCTTATCTTTTACTGAAACTTTGTACAACCAACAAGGAGGTTATGCAGGATTTGCACATCTCTCCTCTGACTCCGTAAGTGTGTAGAGAACTGAACTTCAGCATTCTTCCAATTATATTTCACTGAGGTGCTTATTTTCGTTTCTAATAGCACCTGTACCATTTTGAAACTTTCTATCTGTGCATTCAGAACTAACAATTATGGCTTCAGCAGATGTACATTTTGGTATTTTAGAAAAGATTTTGAACACAACTTCATCAACTACCACATTTCCCATTTGAAGTGGAATGCAGCTGCATGCTGGATTCATTAAAAGTGACCACAGATTTTGTTATAGAGAAACAAACCAAAGAAAAACATTTCCATTTGTTTATATGTGTGCTAAAGTTGACCTCTCCATAACTATAAAAAGTTGAATAAATGTTAGTATTGCTTGCCATGTCCAGCTCCCTAGTTCTTTTGAGTAAGCATGCTTTAAGTTCTTGGCAAAGATAAATCCTTCAGTCCTGACAATTTATTAAATATTTTAATTATATTTCTAATGCTTGTTAGTTTGTTTGTGTTTATTTGTTTGTTTTTTTAATCTGTGTAGGATCATTTAAGCCCAAGAGCTTCCAGGCAGAAAAACTGCACACTTGATTTGAAAATGTGCAATGCAGTATAGATATATATCAAAAGGGATCCAATACTTCCCTGGTGCCTTTATACAGAATAAAACCAACAATGAATCACAAATTATTTGTTCCTTATAAACACTAGAAAAAATATTTTTAGGTCTTGGAATACTAACATTCCTCCTAAAGAAGTTTCCATTTGTTAAGCCAGACAGCTTAGCAATTGTCAAGTTAAACAACATGGTTCAGAACTTTTTACTAGTGATATGTCAGAAAGAAATAAAAGAACCTACTTGTGTTGAGAAGTAACAGTGCTTTCATACATAGGAACTCTTCTTGGCTAACTTGAAGTCTGACAAATTCCTGTGGGAGCTGCCACATGGATAGACACAGGGAATAGAACGATGATTCTTTCATCCTCTGTCTTACACCCAGAAAAGGTAAAAAAAAATAAACAACATGAAAATAAAGAAAAGGAATGGCTCCAGTATTAATTGATTGAAGGAAGTGCCTTGTTAGCAGTTTAGTTACCACATTACAGAAATTAAAGACAGAGGTTATACACATAAACAATCTTCTGACATTTTTGTACCTATACTAGTTTTTAAATTGTAATGAATGTGATGTTATTTTGGACGTTTAGCCTGTTACTGCTGCCCAGAAAAAAAAACCTCAGAGACTATCAAAGCTGAATACTAAACACCAGAAAGTTTTTATTAACTAAAAACACTCTAATAATTAATGTGAAGTACTTTCTTTTCTTTTAGAGGTTGATAGACTTTTACATTCTCTGAAAAGACTTCAAAGCATAACATTGAATATAAACCTGAAAGTTTATAGAAAACTTGTTCTTAGGTTTTGCAAAAATGTCCGCATCAAAATACTTTGTCGCAAGTCTAACACTGTACTGCTAACAGCAGTGATACTATTTTGTAGCATTTTATATCATTTAAAAAGCAGTTTAAAATATTAAATGGAAATATATACAAAAAGCTTTGAAGTAAACTTAGATATTAATGCAGCCTTATCTCATCTCCTGCAGAAGTAAATTGGACAAATCACACAAGGAAATACATAAAACTGTTATTTTTTTGCATCACTTCAGTCTTACTTTTCTCTTTGAGATTTTGGTATACTGAGTATATTTTATTGTACATATTTAATGGGAAGGCAGTTTTCAACTGACATTACTGCAACAATAGCATGCCAAAGTTTGTAAACTAAATTGAATTTCATTGTAAACTAAACTAAACTGAGGATCCAGCAACATGGGCTAATTTTACAAAGCTACAACCTGATCCAGGTGAACTAGGTACAAAACAACAAGATGAAATTTTGCCTGTTCCCCTTATGAAGTTCAGATGAGTGTTCCAACCTGACTGCAGATAGCACCATCAACAGCAAAAAACAGAAGATATTTTCCATGAATAAAAGACTTCTTTCAGTGCACTGAGATTTTTTCTTCTATTATTTAAAGTGTTATTGTTATCTTAAATGAAAATTATTTCAGCTTTGTTCAACATCTGATATCTCTCACCAGCTCTTAAATTACTTAAATACAGAAATTTAATATATTAGATCAGACTGGCTGCTTCTATAGCTACTTTAAACCTCCCTTCCTATTCCTTTCTGGTAGTTTCTATACCTAAGTGGTATCTATGAAGAGTGACAGCAGCTTTCAGGGTATACGTAAATGTTGTTCTTAGTCATGTTTTCAGACATTGCAAAGTATAAGGAAAAGTAAATCCTTGTAATCTTTTAATACTAGCTCATAAAATCATTGTCAAATTAACACTTCTGGCTTTATTGATCTGAAATTGATGCTACCAACAAGTCATTCCAAAGGTGCACTACAACTCAGTTCACTACATAACAGAGTGGCTGTGAATCAATCTTTGGCTTGTGGTTGCACGGTCATTTTGGAACAACCAAAGTGTGCGTTGCCCCCATTCAAGGAATTTCTGATCTCTCCACCCCTAGGTGTGCCCTCCTGCTGTTCTGGCATCTGTGCCTGCATGTCCATGTGGTGAGTCAGATCAGGGATAACTTCCATCTGTCAGTTAAAGGCTTCTTTTGGGGTATTTCTCAAGCATATCATTTGGAGAACAAGTCTTATGATGAGCGGCTGAGGGAACTGGGGTTGTTTAGTCTAGAGAAGAGGAGGCTGAGGGGAGGCCATATCACTGTCTACAACTACCTGAAAGGAGGTTGTAGTGAGGTGGATGTGTGTCTTTTCTCCCAGGTAACTAGTGATAGAACAAGAGGAAACTGCCTCAGGTTGCACCAGGGGAGGTACCGATTGGATGTCAGGAAAAATCAGGCACTGGAATGGCCTACCTCGGGAAGTGGTTGAGTCATCATCCCTGGAGGTGTTTAAAAGACAGGTAGATGAGGTGCTCAGAGATATGGTTTAGCAGTGGACAGGTACGCTTGGACATGACAATCTCAAAGGTCTTTTCCAACCAAACGATTCTATGATTCTGTGATTTCCTTATCTGTTTGACAGTGCAGACAGATAATGTTTGATCCAGCTTAAGTGAAATCAGGGGTGTGTATGACCAGGGCATGGAGGCAGGTGGAGCTGACTTTTTCGACTGTGTTCAGTACTTACCTTTGCTTAAAGTGATCATGAAAGTAAAATTTTAGACATCATTGTACACAAGGAAGTTGCTGACATTCTACTGATCTAAAAGCTAACTTATTTCCCAATAAATAGTTGCAGCTATGACTTAGTGTGCCAGTTACTTTTAATGTCTAAGTCTTTATTTATAATGTTTCTAATATGACCCTGATGAGATGTTCTACAACCAAGAAAAGGGTATGTTGTCAGTTCACCTCTTTCTCAATGTAGATCATCTTGAGCTACAAACAAGCTGTCTCTAAGGGATTATAATCAGGGTGCATAAATCTCAACGTTGTTCTTGAAGAAAGTCTTCTTCACAAGGTGGTAGCAGTGGTCCACATACAGGGTAATACCCCAAGACATGATATTACTGCCTAAAGCCATCTCACTCGTGTGTTTCTTCTGAATGTAACCATGAAATAGTTCACAGACTATGCTGGGACAGAACAGAGTCAGAAGTTCTCTCAATCTCATCGCCTTAAAGTATTTCAATTTCTACAGCACAATTAATACACACAGGAGAGGAAAGAACTCATTACTCTATAACCTCACAGTGACTTACGGTCATCTGGAGCTACAGGGCCATTTCCACTGCATATTTCTATACATAACTTCACTGGCAGGAGTCTGCCTGTCTATAGATTTTAAATGCAGGTGCCTAGACCTTCTGCAAATCAACCTCTTAATCCTTAAAAGGTATGACATACAAGAAAACCTGTTTAACTTTAATGTCACTTCACAGTCCTTCTTTTAGGATTTTGAGAAAAAAAAAAACTAAGAAAAATGTATTAAGGAAAAATAAATAGGGAGATCGAATTATGTTTTACTGGTTCTGTATCTAAAACTACAGCTTTGATAATATTAAGTTGCAGAGCTGAAAAACTGACAAAGACTGAAATGAAAATCATCTGAATTCAACAGCAAAATCTAAGCAAACAGCCCCAATTCCAACCAGAAAATAGCAGCCTCACATATTTTATCCTTCATATTAAAATTCCTTCTTGCTAAATTATTACAATTTTCTAACAGTAAATGCACTTTAGAAAAGCAGAGTTTTATCAGAAAGTGCCAAAACTGAGTATCTTAGACTATATACAAACTATTTACAAAAACCACCCAAACAACAACAGAAGAAAATCCTACTTAGTTCTATTTATTAAAAATTAACTCATGTCTTATTCAGATGAATTCAAGTAAATCTTCTGACAGCATCATTTTTTAAAATTATTTTTCTTTTAGGTAATTACAATATTTGAACTCCTTTGTCAACAGACTATTTAGGATTCCCACAAAACCCCCAAAGTTACTGAACTTTAATATAATCAGAGGACTTTCCTCTGCTGTTAATTCTGAAACAGACCAAGTAATGAATGAAATCTCGGCTTCAATGAAGTCACATTCTCATTGACAAACATAAGTTAAAAATGTCATTCATATTATGCAACAGCAGAGTCTACTTACTCATTTAGAATCAGATCTGGTGCAAAATACAACATCTGACCACTGACATGTTTGTATGATCTCCATCCCATTGCAAAAACCATTAGACTCATCCAGGAATACTGGATGAGGGTTATCTGATCATCAATATGTAAATTCCGAAATCCTGGAAATGAAATTAAAAGTTAAAATACTTTATAATTCTAATTTAGATGACAGTTGAGGAGGTGTTCTGAGATTACAACTTTGAGCTATAAAACTGAGAACACCTAGAAGGACAAGTGCTTTTGGGAATGTAGTTCTCAGAAGTTTGTGAACTTTGTATAATCACTAGCTATCTCACTTTGATAGTTAATATCTTTTGTTTTGATCCAGCATTTTGAAATTATCAAACCAAAATTAACTTTAGCAGCCAGAAGTGACTATTTCAGGGAACAGGAATGCATCTCATTTTCCTTTGGTAAAAATACAACAGTTTGTAACGTGCTCACTGTAATCAACTCTTATTTAATATAGATAGCTTGGACTTTAGTGTTCTTAACAAGAGATACAGCTGTAATACAATAAACATCCACATATTAATATCTTTCTTGGGTTTAACTAAAGAGAAATCAGTTGTGTTTGCCTTTGAGAACTTTCGCTCTTTGATAACTTTAAAGATTGCTATGAAGTATCTGAGTCAATCTAACAGCTTCCTGCCACTGAAAGCAGTGTCCTGTTCTTCATTACCTGGTCCTGTTACCTCCTTCAAGCAAGCTCTGGCATTCATGCCACCCCTCAGTGAACTGGTTCAGCTCATGAAGCCATCAGAAAACTACAGAGGGTAAAAAAAAAAGGTTTGTTTTCTTCTCACTTAATGAGATGAATCACTTCAACCAAGAGGTCTGACAAGTGCAAACTGCAATGGGGAAGATTGCAGTGATAGAGACCACCCTTTCCTGCAGCACTGAATTGTCAAATTGAGCTCACATGAAACTGTATTCCCAGGCCTTCTGGTCAATAAACTGATTTTCATACATCTTGGGATCAGGCCCCTATGACCACACAGTGCATGTACATACATATTACATTTTTTTTGGAACTCAGTCTTGGATCTTCTCATTACCAGTCTATTTTTGAGCTGCATAGTCTTAACTCGTACTATTTATTACATTTTTTCTCTGTTGCTTTAAAAAAATCATTTTAATAAAAATAAGAATAAAGAATATGCAGAAATGTTAACATTTTTTTCATACAAAAAGAATGAGTAACGGACTAGGAGGGGTTAGGGTGGAAAGGCTGCTGTGACAATCACATACAGGATCTCTCTGGGTATCTGTTGTTTTCTGGAGTGAGTCTAAATGTTTAGATGCATTCCTTTAAAGACTGCCCTCCTTTTAAAATGTATTTGATTGGTGCATATATTATCTGATGAAGTAGGAGGAGAACAATTTTATAATTTGTTAAGGATTAATTAACAGGCAGACAGTAATATTCTCTTTTGACTATTCATCCTATGACATATATGCTTAACTAGAATTCACTACATATAAGAAGTGATATTACCTGGTAGCAATTTAGACCACTTGACTACACAAAGAAGTTGCCTCTCACAAAGATGATTTAGACTAGTCAGCAAGGAACTTGGCGTTTCGGGTTTTGTATTGTCATAACCAGCATAGACAACTTCTGGCTCAATGCCTCGTAGAACACTTATCATTGGGGGAACAAACTGTATTTCTTGATTTGGAGAAAAGGACAGCCTTTGGGTTAGAGATTGGCTTTCATCTTGAAGGGTTGCTGGCTGCTGGAGTGCGACATCTAATGTTCTCACAACCTTAATTTTGTTAAACTTTTTAAATTTTCGACCTGAAAAAGAAAATTTTTAATCTGTTAAAAAAAAAATTAACCAGAAACATTATCAGTTTCCAGTAGTGGAATATTACACTTTTAATTTATACAAGGAAATTAGAACTGTCTTCTGAAAAAGTTTTCTGGTTTTGACTATTTATATAATTAAGAAAAAACAATGGAAAATTCTTATGAGTTTCTCCTTCCATAACCTCCTCCCTTCACTAAGAGATGAATGGCATCCACTCATTAAAATTATTGCCATGAATTCTAGGTTACAGTAACCTCATGAAGTGTTTTCTGGTTCAGTTCCCACTGTTCTATCATATGCTGACGGCTGAGCCAGCTGGCTCTAGAATCCAGTTTCTATTCAATTTTAATTAAGCATACTGTTTCTTTTTTTCTCCCTAATATCCAGAAATAAAAATATAGCAATTAATTACTACACACAGAAATTCCTTTCCTCCCATTCCATAAAGGCATTTAAGTCTTGTGGCTAAATACAAAGTTGATGATTTGAAGTGTAATATTTTCCTCCTGTTTACCAGAAAGAAAATGGAATTCAGGAAATGAGTGAAAATACTGTAAAACCACATGTCAACACTTACAAAACTCTTCACTTTCTAGAGAATAATTTTTCTTTCTTAGTATTTTCAATCTTAATTCAATACTGCAGGGGTTTGAAGAACACTAACAACAACAACAACAAAAAGTTTAACTGCCTTCCCAAAATAAGGACAGATACTACACCTGGTATAGCTATGCAATCATACAGAGCTCTAGGTAGCAACTCTTCACATTTCTTCCATGGAAACAATCTAGAGGTGCACCATACAGATACAGAAAATCAAACCTTCAGAGGCTGAAAGACAATAACCCTCAGTAACATCTTACCATATTACACATTTCAATAAAAAGGAAAATCCATGTAGAGGTGGCTGCATGGAACACATGAACTATAAATAGATCCTCAAAGGCGATGAAAACCCTGTTGGATCAATAAATTCTCCAGTTGTGCCAAACAAGTTTTGCTAAGTGAAAAAAGGGTGTCACGACAAATAAAAAATACTATAAAGATTCTGGTAGTTATAGTCTGATTTAGATGTCAGTGGGACAGCAAGAGAGATGCAGTGTGACTGCAAACAAAGGGTAATTCATTCATCCAACAAAGGAAAATAAAAAGTTTACAGGTTTCAACCTTAAAGAAAACAATCAGGAGAAGGTTCTGCTCCAAAAAAATGCAGAAACCACATAAATATTTTCACTTGTTGAAGTGTTGCATGCTTTAACAATAATGGAAAAAGAGATGCACCAAATTTCACTGCATGAAAAGAAAAAATATGCCTATCAAATTGCTGAACCACTGACAAACTGCATTATAAAATGGCAATATGCAAAAACCACTCCATAAGTACAGGAGGTGAAAGGTAACAGAAGCGTAACACTGTGCATCTATTTGGATGAATTAAAAGCCAGTTTATAACATGCATATCAAACTGTCTTTTGAAAAACTGTACTTTTGTTTACAAGTGAAAGATCAGACAAGGGAACTTATCACATTGTAAAGGAAGGAGACAAAGACTTCTCCATCTCTTACTGCCTTCTTTTTATTTTAGCTAAAAGTAGTGCCGTGCTGTCAAAATGCAACTGGTGCAGCAAAGAGACCCCAGGACACTGAGGCAGGAAAACACACCTAAACTTCAGCACATGCTCCAAATCCTTTCTCAGCTGTTAATAGTCAGACTCATCTATTATTTTCCTCCTTGGAAAGTCCTGTCTTCCAAACTACAGACTAAAACAGAAAGGTTCAACAAAAATGGCTATTGGAATGCCTATTCCGCTGTCTTCAAGTGCTCCTTTATCATAGAAGATAGTAAATTTTATGGAAATCCAGTGTCTCCATTTTGGAAGACCTAATATATACACTTCAGAGAATTAAAATGACCATTTCAAAACATTCATTAGTACATAGGCAGTACAACTTCAAGCAAGATTAGCACATCAAAGATGGAAGATTTTTTATGTTATTTCCAAATATTTTATACAGAACAAATTCTATTACTTACATTAATTATTTTTGTTGTACACTGGCGTAACTGGAGGCAGAATCAATTATCTTGTTTGTGAACCAGACAGAATTTAGCAAATGAACACAAACTAAAGAGCCAAAATCTGTTGGGTTTTTTTTAAATTGTGTAATCCTGTCATAAATATGCATGTTTATGCATTTCATATACAAAAAAATAAGATGTAAACAAATGTGCAAAACTTCAATTTAAATTAAAAAGGTAGTTAAAATCCAAAGGGAGTATACTCAACAAAATTTCAAGAAACACACTTTATGGATAGTATAAATATGAGTGATGAGCTCTTCAGAAACACTCATCATCTAATGATGTTAGATTCAGGAGTCATACGCCCATTAACTTAACCGTGAGTTTAATTAGCTTAGTAACAAGTGCCTCAACAATCTTATGCTCGTTTTATCATTTGTGGTAAGAATACAAATATTTCTGATTAGTGACTCCTTGGTAAAGAACGAGACACAAACTTAGACTTTACGTTACAGCTGAAGCAAAAAAACCCTAGAGACCTAGGGCCAATTTCTACCACAACAAAGCTAAACATAGTCCTAAACATGCTGGGAATTTCCCACTAACTATTGTTTAGGCATGAAGGAAAACAGAAGGAACAATGCATTTGATAGTTCACAAATAATGAGTTCAGGTATTTTCTGAACTAATGGCTTCAGATACTTTTACAGTTCAGAGAACAAGTAAAGAAAGAAACCGAAGTGCCTATCCCATGGAAATGTTAGTAGTTAATAAGTACCCACGTTTCCAAGTGATTAAATGTATCAGAATTAATGTCAACCTCACTTGCAGAATTGCTTATTTGTTTATTTCTAATTATGTTGCTTAACAGCCACCAGTAAAGCAACTCCACTTGCTTCCTTTCTACTGGAGAGGTGACTATTAATAACTCACAGAAAACTTTCCCATCTACCACAAAGAGACTCTGTCAAATTAATGCAAACTCTTAAGGGCATATGGAAAACAACAGAGATGTGACAATAGCTTAGTTTTTCAATTGCTGCTTACAAAAATATCCAGATAATTTCCTGCTGTAAGACAAACGTCTCCACTTAGTCCTATAATGTGCAAAAAATACTAATCCGCTCTGGCAACTATTCATCTTAATATGAAAACCTGGGTGTGCATATTCAGACAGCACTTCTTTTCTTTGTAACACTGTCATTAATTATTTTTAAGACAGTCAGCCACTCAGGCAGTTTCTTAGTACTTACAGTTCCCTCACCCTTGATTACTATAAAAAGCATGTGTGTAGTGGTTTTGTACATCTACCTAGAAAACATATATAATTTTAAAAAATAAAATCTACTTAATCTCATAATCAAATATATTATGATTTTCTCCTTAACACTTAACTCTGTATTTTAATATTCTTTTAACCAGGGATACAGAACCATACTGACAGTCAGACACTACTGACAGTACACATCTCATATTAAAATGTCTGGGTTTCTAGTAAAAGTCTAACATCTCACTATCTTTCTCCATAACCTGTAATCAGGTGAAAAATGTCAATGATTTATTATTCTTGACAGAACACTATGGCTCTGACTTTAAGGTCACTATGCTCTTATGCTTTGTGTAGGAGAACAAGCTGTGTGCACCTTAGGAGGTTGTATACAAAATAAAGGAACAAAGCAGCAAAGCAGAAGTAATACATCTTGATTTTAATAAACTCTTTGATGCTACCTCGGAAAATATTACCTGGAAAATTAATTCACATTTGTCTCCATGTAATCATTGCAATGTGGACTGAAAGCTGACAGAAACAATGAAGAAAGCAGTAATTCAGCAACACAGCAGAACAAGGAATCAGTGACAGTCAGCCTGGAAAAATTAGATTCACTGATAGGAAATAAAAAAGCTGGGTACTTGATTATCCCAGGACACGGCTACCTGCTATCCTATTAGGTAGAAGATTAGAAAGGGGATAGATTAACATGTTCAGTTATGGGATTATAAGACTCAAAGACAATTAACACTCCCACAGAGAATCGTAACTAAAGAATTATGAAATACATGCTTTCATTGATACTTTCTTTATAAATATTAAGAAAGAGTACATATAGTGAAATCAGTTACTAAAGCCATTTGTTGCTATCCTACAATTTACTTAAAACTGACTAAAATTTATTTTAACACAATTCAGGTTCATTTAATTGCTTTGAAATTAAGGTCAGAAAATGGAACTGTTAGCAATGTAATATAATATTATTTTCTATGTACATGGTTGCCACTCAGTAACATTCAGTGGAAAATAAGTGTACATCTCCCAGCAGTAAGTTTAATTTAATTACTATAATAAGAATCTTTAGAATCTTATAGTTAACACCTGTAAAATCTTAAGTCTTTCTCACCTTGATTAAGCAATTTTTAGCAACTGAAGGCTAATATTAAGAAACTAAGTAGCAGGAGTAAAAGAACAAAAGCCTCCCTATGTAAGTCCTGAATGGCAGAAACCAGAAAATGCACAAAAAAAATTAAAATAGGCTGCAATCATAGGAAAATATTCACAATTCTGATTCATTAAAAACATTCAAGGATGTATCTAAGTATACAATTTGTTCCACTAATTAGAAATTTGCTTAAGGACACTTAGGTCCTGGGGAAAATTATCTAAACTCAGTAGTATCCTCTATGAATCACACTGTGTTATCAGCACGGCAAGTCATGGGTAGGAAATATTGCTCATGTGATACAATAAAGGAAGTATAAGAAATGGCAGAAGAGCAAAATTAATAAAGAAGACAGTAATAGTAGAAAGCATTATGGTTAAACAGTCTACCTTGAGTCTTTTTGTTGTTTTGAATTTTAAATCCTCATTTACAAATACTTTCACTTGTTTCCCTCTTTTTTTCCCCTACATTTGTTTTTTCTTCCTCTTTCAGTATTAAGCTCTCCATTTCAATCTGCATAGAATAATTTGCTTCCTAATCCCCCCAGAACTGCTGACATCACTAAGAGCACCTGAAATACTACACTCAACCTGATGCAGCTAACTGAAAATTAGAGAAGCCACAGTCCTGGCTCCATTTGATATTTCCTTTTTCCCACTACCTCAAACATTTTCTCCTTCTTCCTATTTGCTGACAGATCACTTCTTTCCAGAAGATGGAGTAGGTGGGGATATCAGGGCAGAGATCTGATGAGATCCCATGCCCCTGTGAAACCTAGAGGAACTAGACTGGAACAGACTCCTCAAAAAACAGAAGACAGCTTTGATTAGGTATGTTTAGAAAAGGCCTAAACAACACAGCAAACTTGCTAGCTCTAAATACAAAGAAACTATTCACACTTGCTTCATACTGGCTGAGAAAAAAGGCTGATTCAGACAGATAGAAGAAGCTTTTACTCTCTTAATACATGATGAACTAAGAGTGATACATGATGAACTAATATGAGAACTAAGAGTCAGAGCACCTTTACCCTCAGGTTTTGGTTTCAAGTACAAGGACATAACATCCTCTTATGAGGACACATTAATGAGGATATACTGTCTCTTAAGTATTGCTAGAAAAAGCGTACGACTTTTTCCATTCCAACTTTACAAGTTGTCCCAAACTTAACAACACAGACATTGTACCTGCCACCTCCTCCCTTCCCAAGTCTCCAATCTCACCACACATTTTGCACAGCCACTCTGGATCCCTGCCTCCTTGGCTTTCTCCCCTTCCAAACCTTCATCTGTCATCTGGGCAAAAAATCTTTCAGGTCTAGGGTGAAAAGTCTCTCTAATGCACTCCTACCCCAGCTCTAAAACACCACTTCGGCCTGAGAGGGATCCAAAGGACATGTTCTCTTCCTTTTGTCCCTCTTCTCCCAGTCCAGTACCACCCAACATGCTTGTCAGCTCAATTTTTTTTTTTACTGAGAGGTGGCATTGACTGACCAAGATGCAGGAAAAAGGGAGAGACAGTAACACCAATTAGACTGCTGACTCTCATTACTCCATCTCCAGTGCTGCGGGATGAGAGGGACGCAGATTGGAGAAGATGACTCAAAGGAGAGGAAGTGCTGAAGGTCTAGGAAGGTTCAAAGGTACAACACAGAACACAGTCCATACGGCAGCATCTCCTCTCCCTCCTCTCATTCTGCTGGCTGTTCCCTGCTGCAGCACTGTTGGTAACGGAGGATGAAGTACTGAGAGCCAGCAACAGCTCCTCAGTGGTTGGGAACTACTTATTTATATCACTGATAGAAGTATGAAATGTAAGAATGACACAACGGCCACGTGTGCAGAATATTCCAACGCCATACAAAATTACAGGAGCTGAAAGCATACAGCTGTGCAAGTGTCAGTCTGAAAACTACATACATGTTTTAACATGAACAAACACAGATTAGCGAGATAATGAAATTACGCACAGTACATAATGCCAGTTCTTCCTTCAGGGATTAAAAACATTACATACTGTTCCCAGAGAGAGAGAGACAGAGAGAGATGTTTGATGTGCTGAAATAAATTATATTAGAAATAAATCAGGTTTTTGTCCTTCTTTTTATTTTTAATTCCCTTTGAGAACATATCCTTTCTATCATCTTTATATAGCCATTTTCTTATAGTCTTAGCCATGTACTTTCCAGTTTTGTGCTGACCCAAAACTTTTATAGCTAAACCTCTGCATTTCTTTTTTTCCTATTAATGAAAAATATGAAAAAATACAGGAAAAATATGCATCATTCCTGCATCTAAGCACAGCAAAACTTGCCATGTCACTACCTGATCCTACATCATTTTCTTCCTGTAGGTTTTCAAAGACATAGTGCTCAATTTTGGTTAATGCTACATAATAAAAAAGCAAATCTGTTATACTAAGAACTAATACAAAGATGGGAACGTGCAACATCGAGTATGCAAAGTCTGTAGTGTTGGTGTAACCACTGCCTGGCCCTCTTCGGTGGAACAGAAGGATATAATTTTGATGACATTCTCAAAGTAATGATAGAGAGCACAATAGAAAAGAGAAGGGGATAGTACTGATGAGAGTGATTTTAGTGTCACTCTCAATTTGCTTCTTTATTTTTTATCTAAATCAGATTTTTTGATGCAAAATTATTAACAAATACATACCAAAGACACAATTCCTGCCCTTGCAAGAATATCAGTATAAGGGTACACAGTAGGAGAGAGAGATAACTAAAGAAAGCTATTTTTGTTTCAGGGTTTTCAGACTCATTAAAGAAAAATTATACGGAATTTTAAAACGTAAGGTAATTCTTCCAAAAGTAACATTTTAATATGGTTCTTTCCTTTGCAGTATCAAAGCAACGTTGTTTAAACTCGACAGATTGAAGGTAGTGTTCTTGACTGCCTATTTTCCTGAATCAGATTTGAAAAGCAGCTCACCTCCCAGCACCATACCAGCTTGACAGCACTTCCTCAAGCGACATGCTGGACAGTTCTTCCTACGAATTTTATCAACTATGCAGTCATTTCTTCCAGCACATAAATAGTTGTGCTGCCCTGCAGACAAGAGAAAAGAAGGATTAATACTATGACTTCTAACATGATAAAAGTATTGCTGTGTATAAATGTTCCAAAAATAACAGAAGATTAAAAAAAATATACTTGAACCAGTAAAGGACTCCTTCATTTTATGCTAATTTTCAAATAATCATGTGTTACTATTTAAAAATAATAATTTATTTGGCCTGTTTAAGAATGAAACTCTCAACCTATAAAATTCCAAAATAATTAGCAGACAGTATGAACTGCCTAAGTTATTGTACTATCAATATTTCTTAAGGAAAGAAAGCAAGAGGACAGACTGATCCATTTCTTTCTAACTTATTCTTCCTGATTTTAAAGAACTTGAGTAAATTTTGCTTGGACTGATGCGGAGTTCCTGACAGAAAACTGAATTAAGAAGTTGAGACAGTGCAAAAAAGAGGCCTTTAAGCACATAAATTACCTTTGCAAAGCAGTCTTGCACTAGACCTGCTGAAATACCAGCTGAACAGATGGAGCCAACCCAAGCCATTTGTCCTTACAAATAGAAGAAAGCTGTAGCTTTTTAGAATCATACAATGGTTAGGATTGGAAGGGACCTAAATATCATCTAGTTCCAATCCCCCTGCCATCAGCAGGGACACCTTCCACTAGACCAGGTTGCTCAAAGCCTCATCCAGCCTGGCTTCAAACCCTTCCAGGGAGGGGGCAGCCACAACTTCTCTGGGCAACCTGTTCCAGTGTCTGACCACCCTCACAGTGAAGAACTTCTTCCTAATATCTAATCTAAACCTCCTCTCTTTCAGCTTAAACCCATTTCCCCTTGTTTTGTCATTAATCGCCCTTCTGACAAGTCCCTCCCCAGCTTTCTTGTAGCCCCTTCAGGTACTGGAAGGCCGCTATAAGATCTCCCCGGAGCCTTCTCTTCTCCAGGCTGAACAGCCCCAACTCTCTCAGCCTGTCCTCATAGGAGAGGTGCTCCAGCCCTCGGATCATCCTGGTGGCCCTTCTCTGGACTTGTTCTAACTGGTCCATGTCTTTCTTATGTTGGGGGCTCCAGAACTGGACGCAGTGGTTTAGGTTAGCTCTTAGTTTATTGTTTAATTCTGAAGGACTCAGTTAGGAAAAGCCTGTCATTACTATGCTAAAATGGATTCTTTTTAATGAAATTAGTTTCCAGCAGAGCAAAAGATTAAATTCAGTTGATATCCTGACATTCTTTTGAACACAGAATTCAATTATACTTCCAAATTTCAGTTGAAGAGAATAAAAAAGTACACTTTTATGCCTTAGTACAATACTGGTAATTTTTATGATTGATTTTAATTTTGAATAAGTAAACAAAGCTAATTATGTACGTAAGTAAGAAGAAAACAAAGCTAATTTTCACATATTCTTTCAAATTAAGTCCAGGTTTGTCCTCTAAGGTTTAACTTTAAAATCCTGCCTGTTTGTGCACATCACCTTCTGTTCATTTCTGTATTTTCAATTCCTTACCAGTATCTAGCATGAAAGCATGACAACAAAAAGAAGTATTTATTTTGAGAGCAACAAAATTGATCAAAAATTATGGACAAACTACAGAAATACCAATATCATGGATACTTCCGTCATGGAATATTGTGGATGCAGATTTCCAAATATAACAGACATCAATACCAAACTTTTTAAATTTTCACTAATTTCTAGATCAGAATTATTTTGCATTAGCCATCTGATGTCACCAGTAGCAAACAAATCTGAGATGATTATTCTACTCAGATATTCAGCTTTCTTTATAGCTCTATTCTGTCCTTTCTCTGCACATGGTAAATTGAGCAACTGTCCACTAATAACTTTTCTCCACAGAAGAAAGACAAACTGAAAATCAATTCTCAGATGAAAACGCAGGAGAAAGAACATTCTATTCTAACAAAAGAAAAAAGCTTGGGCTAAACAAGTTGAAACAATGTATTTGTTCCTGTGCTAACATTTTTTTAGATAATTTACTTCTTACCCATACTTTTGAAAACAACTCGTTTGGATTTAGTGAAAGAAATCTGAATGCCTGAAAATCATTTTTATAACAGGTTTTTTGTTTTGGTTTTTTTTTAGAAAACAACAGGTAAATGAAAAGTACTGCCTCATGCACTGCCTGGCATTTATAAAGTATTTAGTAATGCAGTAAATCATACGACATTCTCATTTACTTTCTCCCATTAATTCTAACCCTGGATTCCTTCTTACAAGAAACAATACCAAAAATAACCAAATGAATAAAAATCTGTCTTGCTTTTGGCAGCACACCAGGAAGCAAAACACTTCCTTTGAACACATCTTCCATGGGATTATTTGCAGTTTTTCTTGTCTTGCTTTGCCTTTATTAGCTACAAAAGCATTCAGTCTTTCGACAAGCAGTAACTGTTCTAAAAGTCTGTTAGTTTAACTAAAATCTATGTAGCATCAGATTATCTCTGCACTGTCGCATTCCGATGCTTTAATATACAGTTAATTTAATATACAGTTAATCCTTGTCTCTAAATTGGAGACATGGGGGTTTGATGGATGGACCACTTGGTAGATAAAGAACTGGTTAGATGGTCGCACTCAAAGAGTTGTGATCAACAGCTCAATGTCCAAGTGGAGACCAGTGACAAGTGGTGTCCCTCAAGGATCAGTATTGGGGCCGGTGCTGTTCAACATCTTTGTCGGAGACATGGACAGTGCACCCTCAGCAAATTTTCCGACAACACCAAGCTGAGTGGTGTGGTTGACAGACTGTAGGGACAGGAGGGGATGCCATCCAGAGGGGATGCCATCCAGGTGAGCCTGTGCTAACCTCATGAAGTTCAACAAGGCCAAATGCAAGGTCCTGCACCTGGGTCAGGGCAATTCCAAACATAACGGGGCAATGAATGGATTCAGACCAGCTCTGAAGAGAAGGACTTGGGAGTGGTGGTGGACGAGAAGCTCAACATGAGCTGGCAATGTGCGCTTGCAACCCAGAGGGCCAACCGTATCCTGGGCTGTATCAAGAGAAGTGTGGTCAGCAGGTCGAGGGAGGGGATTCTCCCCCTCTACTCCACTCTCATGAGGCCCCACCTGGAGTACTGTGTCCAGTTCTGGAGCCCCCAACACAAGGAAGACATGGACCTGTTAGAACAAGTCCAGAGGAGGCCACAAGGATGATCAGAGGGCTGGAGCACCTCTCCTATGAGGACAGGTTGAGAGAGTTGGGGCTGTTCAGCCTGGAAAAGAAGGCTACAGGGAGGGAGTTCTTATAGTGGCCTTCCAGGGCTACAAGAAAGCTGGGGAGGGACTTTTTACAGAGGCAGATAGTGATAGAACAAGGGGAAATGGCTTTAAACTGGAAGAGGGTAGGCTTAGATTAGATATTAGGAAGAAATTCTTTCCTGTGAGGGTGGTGAGACACTGGAACAGGTTGCCCAGAGAAGTTGTGGATGCCCCCTCCCTGGAAGTGTTCAAGGCCAGGCTGGATGAGGCTTTGAGCAACCTGATCTAGTGGAAGGTGTCCCTGCTGATGGCAGGGGGGGGGTGTAACTAGATGATCTTTAAGGTCCCTTCCAACCCTAACCATTCTATCATCCTATGATTCTAATTTACAAAGGAATGCTTAAGCGTATGTTAAGTTTTGGGTATCTTGGTTTTGGGGGTTTTCTTTGGTGGCCCGAAAGGTATCTCTTCTCAACTTCTTTCTAGGGAATCCTCTGAGTCTACACAACGTGGTCTGAGTACGTATAACCCATGCCCATTGCAAGACAAAAAAATGGACTATGTATTTCCAGTAAACGCTCACAAGCAGCTCACAATGCTATAGGCATTCAAGTTGCATTTTTCCCCTATAATGACAAAGAAAAATGCTGATCTACCAAAGTCAAGGCCATATTGTGAAATATTACTCTTCAAGCATTCAGAGAATACTTTTTATACATTCCAGAATGATGTAGGCTTTAGAACTTCCTCTTGGTACTGGTATATGATTTCCTTACTCAACACCCAAGTGTGTGCTCTAACTCCTAAAGGAGGCTAAGGAGTTTGGGTAGAAGCAGCTATGGTAACACTGTTCCTGCTGGAACAGGAAATTATGTGGAAAAACAGAAGTTAATAGCTTGATTTCTACTGATAAACATTTAAATAGCCTGTATTATTTATATAAATGTTTAAATGTTACGCATCTAAGATTAAGCATTACAAAACAAGGGTGAAATACATTGTAAAATTACACATTTAAGTTTAGCTACAGCTCTTAAAAACCTCTTCATAACTTAGAAGTTATCAGTACAGCCAACTTTAACTTCAATTGAAAATGCATTACTTCATCATTACGTAACAACTCACAAACTGCTTATTACAAATCCAAGACTGAACAAAATTTTTCACATTTGCAAAACAAATTGTAAATGAATCACAATTATGAAAACTATTATTGCAATGTTCATATGTTCTAGAGTTTAAGATTAGAGAGGATTAAATAATCTCTCTGTCCAGTGCATAACATGGAAGAAATTGTGTGTTACTGGAATTTAAGTAAGAATTTGCTTTGATGTTCAAAAGTGAGTATTATTTCATTTCTATTTATTTAATAAATTGTATTTAAAAACCTAATAGTGACCAAAGACCTAATCTTTATTATGTCTTCACCTCGTTTATTTCTTCCCTAAAGTCTCCAGGGTACTAGCATAAAAAAAAAGCAGCAATAAAAGGTCAAAACCCTGTCAACCCAACCCACCCATGAGATTATGGTGATAAAATCTCAGTTACTTCTTGATTCTTACTGTCAATAACTTCCTTGTTTTTAAGACTATAAAAAGCTACAGTCACATTCTGAGCTTGAACTACACCTTCATGTGAGTTTTCCACTCCACTCGCCTCTATCCAATCTCTCCCCAACACCTCCCATCTCAAAGTATGTTCCATTCATTCTGATTGAGCTGTAACTTTTTTGGAAAGCACATAACGTTCAATTATAAAGTACTTCTTATAGTATCATCTGTGAGGGACTCTTTTGTCTCCAT